ATCTAGTGCCTCAAGGTCTACAGACAGATAATACATTTAAACTTTGTTCACATCATTCGATATAAATTTTAACTAAGCATGAATCACTGATATCATATGGCACATTTCATCTCTAGATATGAATTGGCGGACGGCTATCATATCACACTGATATGATTATGAGCAATAATTTATGATCGAAGCATCATCAAGTAAATAATACTATATCACTGTGTTATAAATCGAATAAACAAATCTAATATGGAATTAAATTCTATATTTATAAAAATGCTTTTAGTCAAATGTATGACATAAACTTACAAGTGAGGTAAAAAAAACGTGTGAATGAGAAGTAACACGTTGTCGATTGTGTTTATTGATATCACGCGGAGAATGTATCAGAAATACACTGATACATCAGATAAACACATTTTTTAGTTGTTATATGGCATAACCGATATGATCACTAAGTTGAATTATTTACTTGGATTCATGTGACCAGCTTTCGTTCGTTTCATGCATCTTTACCTTCAGCGCATATCCAACATATATTAGACGGAAAATTACACTGAAATACGTTATGTGATGCTTTCTTGCTAATCGTGACAATGATGACTTGATACAAAGTTACCTATTTTTCACTTCAACTAGCAGAAAAATGTATCTATACATCATATGCAGTTCGAAGTTAGATATGATAGTGATTCCCCTAAGATGAACATAAGTTCTCTTTAAATTAATCAACTTAAAGGTAGGGCAGGTGAATGTAGGTTGCAATTTGATTGCAGAATGATTATAAATACTAGCTAGTACTAGTAATGATGGATGGTGGTTAGCAGTGGAATCCAGGATATCCATTTCCTCCTATTTGGGACTCAGCTGGATGTACCCACCTGCTATATACAAGCAATAATACTAGCTAAAACTGTTCTAAATTTGATTATTCATGTCTACTTACCCATAAAAGTATGAAAAAACTTGTGATTTTACATAGAGCAAGCTAGCTGAAGTGACTATCAGATAAATCTTCAGGTTGTGAATCAGGAATGTTCTTATGTCGAAAGACAAGTTTAAAGTAGCTTCCAAATAAACAAAGTAAAATTAAGATGGAGTTCTTTCTGTTTTGTTTCTGTAAACAGTTTCTCTCATAGACTTAACCAACAATCTCCTGTTGTAAGCCAACTAAATTGAGAAAGTAAAGATATCTTAGTTTTCTAATATGTTTCACTTCATCGAATCTACCATGTAAATATAATACTTTATTTTAAGTTATACTAATGGATCTGCGAAATGCAAATGCGTCAGAATATCGTGAATTTTGAAGAAGCAAAAAAGCAATTAATGCACTCCAACTCTATTTAGGGCAAACTAAGAACTATAAATGATGAGTTTTTAATAAATTTGAGTTGTCACGTTCATGTGTCTTCAAAGTACGGAAAAATGTAAAGATAAATCACCAATGAAGTTCTATGATAACCAAAGTATAAAACTTATGGATTAACTTGAATTAGAACAACTAAAAAATTTATTCGAAATTTAGTATCCAGTTGCTAGTTCAATAATATCCACTTTACTGCTTGCTTAACATTTTCCTTGAACTATATTCATAGAAGGTGACATCAAACTCCATGCTGTTGATATAACTCCGAAAATACGTGCGGACATCTAAACAATATCCTATATTCTACCCTTGATGGCTGTTCAAACACTCCGTAAAAAAGAAAATACTGTAAGACAATAAGGTGTATTGTAACGTCAAAATATGTACAAAATACAACCGTTTATACACATTTACAATGGCCCTGACTGAGTGCACAACGTTTCCAAAAGCCCATTCCCAATTAATTTTGTCTCTCCAACTAGTAGGATACATACAGGTATGCTCACATATTCTATCCCGAAACTTTGAAGCATGAGAATGGCTTATACGAGGCTTTAGCGATTTCGAACTTTGAAAGATTTGAACAATCTTACTGCACAGTATAAGATTCGACCGATTGCTTAGTTGGAGAATATAAATCATACACTTCATAGTTTCCACTCGCATATATCGTTAAAAGATACATCTCTTAGTTGTTACGTATAGAACATCTTATGGTGATGAGTTAATATTAGAAGCTGACAACGTGTTTTAAGTGATTCATTGCATCATATTGAGTGTATGAGTTTAAATCTTTTAGAGTAGTTATTCACGCCAGCTACACCTATTTCATAAAATGCTTAATCTGTATCAGAAGGTTTGAAGCAAATCTAACCCACATGTACATATTTCAAATACCCGACTTTGATCAGTTGGCAGATGCACAACTAGTTTTCTAAATTATTCAATCACTTTCACACCTTTTTGTTCTGATATTCATTTCCGTTTAGTTCGTTAAAATCCCGTTCAAAATAAATGCTACTAATTAATACCGCAACTTTTAATGTGAATTACAGAAATTTCTATTCTCTCAATATTTCCGGAAATGCTGTTCATTTTGTAAATACTGATATGCTGCTACAACTGATATTTTTACTTTCACTCATTGAAAGTGGGATCCGTAGTAGTTTGATTGTCAAATAGACACTTACTTCTTTACTCAACGGTGAATATTATAGACGTGTGTAGGCCAGATACCAGTAATTCTAGAGAAACTATTAGGAAATTACGACTTTTTACTGAAGGAAATACATTGATGACGCAGAGACACTGAACCTCGGACACAGGTGCATAGGCTCAAGTTTCCACACTTCACAGCAGTATACAAAGAACAGATGGACAGAAAGAATGATATCAAAGTAGACAAAGCTGTGTGAGAAAATAATCTAAAGATAACGGCTAGTGCAAATAATCAAGCCTTAGAAGACGTCACAGAGTGAATATATCTCCACCAATGCCACCGTTTTTCAGATATTACCAAGAGTCTTCAACTACTTATTCCTTTCGCCTCGAGGACCCCCAACCAGGTAGTCTACATCTCCCCACACGACTCAGATCAACAGTCAGGGACTTTATCGACTAGTGCCAAGTCTCGGCCTGGTCACTATGATCCCACTTACAACCTAATCCAACTCCACTCAGGATGGCAGGTCGAGGTAGGCAGTAGCTCAGCGTGCACAGCCGACTAAGACTCACAACATCATCAATCAACTTGCCTGTCTTATCTAGTAGCCTTCGCCTGACTTCAATATTGCTCATATGCGGATTCCGCCAAACGACAGCAGTGGTACGAAGATATCTGTGAGCAAAAAACCCTGCAATCGCTGTGTCTTTTACTTTTGTCGGCCATGTCTCACAGTCGTATAATGCGTCAGAACGAACCGTAGAGAAGTATACTCACCTATGTGGTAATCGGATACCTCACTAGTTTGGCGCTAGACATGATGCGGGTCAGCAAACCCCAAATGGGCCTCCTGTATCCAAGGTGAGATTTCGTCAGCAACCAGCACGTTCGGGTTGATGCAACTCTTCTAGTAATTGAAGTCGTCAACACATTCCACCACTTCACTCTCTATCACTAAACTGGAAGTTCTTGAAACAGAGCAGGTCTGTAGCACCATCTTACTTTTGACAGGTGTCAGCGAAACGCATGCCAAGCATACTGAAATTTCTACTTAGCGCGTTCACATGAACTTGAATTCTGTTGGCGTCCTCATCTATCAGAACAATGTCGTCTGCACATCCCAAGTCAACTGGATGACCTCCAGGAAGTAGGTCAATCCCTGTGAACCTTCATGTACCTAAGGTTACGTCTATGACGATGTTAAATAGGAACAGTGATAGTGGGCATCTCTGGTAGACGCCACCAGTTGTCGTCACTTCACATGACAACTCTCCATAAGCCCTTACCCGACTCCGTGAGTTCGAGTAGAGAGCTTCGATTAGCGTTATATACTTCCTCAGTACTCTCTGCATGGTCAGACTAGCAAAACAGCTCACGGTAGACAAAATCAAATGTTGCCTTCAAGTCAAGAAATATGCCAAGTGTCAGCTGCCCGTAAGTAAGCTTGTGTTCCACAATCTGTCAAAGGGTAAAAATCTGATCGATGTATCCTCGTCCAGGTCTGAAACCTACCTGTTTTTCTCAAGTTTGCTGTTCTCAAGTTCCACTTAGCTGTTTTACAGTAGTGTTCCCTAGTTATCCTTTATTTAGCAATAACCTCAAAACAAGATCTACCATCAGCCCACTTGTAGGTGCTCATCTGCCAATACAGACTGAACAGTTCGAGGTCGTGTTGCAACGGGAAATTATCAGTATCAAAACATCAAGGACTTACTGTTAGTTAAAACAATTTAAGTGACCAAACTGTCTTGTTTGGGAACCCCGTGAGAGACGCCACGAATATCATGTGCTGACTGGCATGGTGACTAATGCATTTTTCGGTTCCCAATGTTTTATCTCCATAGTCGTCGTCAGAAGCTGAGGAATTGTCTAAAGACAAATAACATACAGCGGTTTTATTCTAGAGGGTCATGTCAAAATTTTTGATACGACACACCCCTGATTTTTTTCACATCATTCATCTTAAAAATGAATAAATCCCTTCTCAAAATGTCCCGAAAACCTCCTTAATAATTAGTCATATTTCTAAGACATTTTCACTACGCCTTTTACATAATCATTTTAAAGCCTAAAACCTTCTGTCCGACGGGAGTTTATCTTTTGTTGTCTTACAGCACGTACATAGCTTATGCACTTTCTGAAAACAGACATAGTAATCTGAAAAAATATATATGCGGATGAGTTTTGCGGAACAAATGTGAACAGTAAGGAACTTGTATCCGATTCATAGAGATGACATATCAATAAATATGTCTACTTGTAATCTTTTTGAAAAACTCATGAAATGTATTTAAGACTTCCGGTGTTTTTAGTTGACACTTAAGTATTGCGAACGAAAATAGGTTGTACATCTTTATTTGACAAAATTAGAAAAGCTGATTGGATGAAATTCATCAACCAACCAGCAGCAAAATAAATCTGTACACTTTAATCCTCTTTCTTCATCTATAAAAAGCAATTTAGCGTAAAACAATAAAAATGCCCGAACCACCTACCAAAGATTTAGTGGAAATTCTAACTAAAGCGAATAATTTGAGAACGGAAGTTGAAATCCGACATGTCGCTACATGGTTCAATCATAATGTTAGAGCCTTCAAAGATGTATCTATAGGTATGTTAAAATATCTGTCTGATATGTTTTATTATCATGAGAAAACTGAATTAATTTAGATGATATCTTTGAATAATTAGTTCCCTTTATAAACTTCGACGAAACAATAAGAAGACGTAAATTGTCTAAACCGTGCAATGTATTTGCGCAACATATTTTAAACTATCTGATCACACACGCACTTGTCATAGGTATTTATATAAAAACTCATGAAGATAAGGGGTGAGGAAATAAAAAGAGGTCAGGTAGGAAGGCTTAATTAAAGGCCGAATAACAATGAAAATCAATAGAGTGAAAATAATAGTACGTCAAACTTGGTTTTCAATAGTTGAATTTACCAAGGAAGATTTAATGTGACAACAAATTGTTTATTAACACATAAAGGTAGTTTCAACTTCCTAATAACTAAGGCTTCAACAAATTTCAGGATCCCTCCCCAACATGTTTTGTAAATAGGTGTAAAGGAAGTAGCCACATCAATCTTGTGACTTGTCTCAACGATATGTTTGGCGATCGAAGAACTTGGACTTCTGCTACCAACATTTATGGGTTCAGGTGATTTAATTTGCTTCTGAAGCCACTTTGGAATATGTTCTGAGGCCCTTATTTGCATGGATCTATTAGTCCTCCCTATGTATGTGTCACCACATGTGCATTTGAATTGGTAGATACAATGGGATGTGACATTATCGTTCACATACTGTGGGGGTTTCGGGGAATATACGGGCTTCATGGTTTCGATTGCTCGAACCCTGGCTGCATAGCAAGTCCTTCTAACAGCAGCGTTGGGACAGGCTGAAGTTCTAGTTTTGGCGCTGTGGTAATTTTGTTCTGCCTGATAAATGTTGATGGATAGTTGTTATTATTATCCAACAGAATGTCAGTCAGTGTTCCTCTTTCATCTTCTAAAGTATCCTCTGTGCGTATTCTTTCAATTCTGTTGAATAAGCACCTTACTAACGTTCGCTTGTACTGAACTAGGCAAAAACTATGGTAATTCAGATATTGTCCTGTCCATGTGGGTTTTCTGTAGATAGACCGTTTTATGGATCCATCCTGCCCTCGACTAATTAATATATCCAGTAACAGCAAGGAGTCATCCTCCTCTCTTACACATGTCAAGGATATGCTGTTCTGTACTTCGTTCAGTCGGTTTAGAATTGAAGTAGCCTGATTTGAGTTTTCACAAATGATCAGGATATCATCAACATATCTTCGATACAGATGGGCTTGGTCTATTAAGTTCTCTGCTAAGTTCTCAACGTGTGACATAAATATGTCGGCTAGGAGGGGACCTAAAATACTTCCCATCGCGACACCATCAACCTGGCTGAAATGTTTGCCCTCGAAGGTGAATTTAATATTGTTTGTACATAAAAGTAACAGCTGCTTTAGGTGATCTAAAGAAATGGGTATCGGAAACTTATGCACAAAAATATAACCACATAAAGTGTCAATTGTCTTGACCAGAGGGATATTGGTAAATAATGAGTTAACGTCAAATGAACACAAATTTACTCTTTATGTTGACATGCTCAAGGCATTTGGTTACTTCAAATGTATCCCTTAAGGAATACTTACAGGACTGCTTCTTAATGGGATCCAATAACTCTACTAGCCACTGGGCAAGCTTATGCCTTGGCGACTTACACATTGACATTATGGGATGTAAGGGGTTGTTGGGTTTGTGTACTTTAGGCAAACCGTAAAGATGTGGGAATTGGGATTCGGTTATTTTCAGTAGGGCGAATTTTTGACTGGTAATGACGTTCATTTCGAGCAGTTTCACTAAATTAGCGGTCATAGTTCCCTGTAACAATTGTACGTCTTCTGAAGAACAATCCTTAGTGAATTTATTTTCATCTTCAAGAATCGATGACATTTTATACTCATATTCGATTTTATCCATGATCACGACATCTGAGCCTTTGTCAGGTCTGAGGATAATAATATCGGGATTCTCTCGTAGTTCCTTCATAGCTCTGAAATGTTCAGAATTTGGAATGCTTTTCTGGTTCTGATGGTGTCATAATGATGGTAACATAATTAAAAATGTTGTACATATCGACTTGTCAGGTATAGTTCTCACTTATTCAAATGTATGCCAATATATATGAGATGATGAAAATAATAATAATAATAATAATAGAACTTTATTTCCCATCTGTCAAATCGAAACAAAAATGAGATGAAATTTTTCGCAAATACAAAAAACATTATTCACCTGGATGAATTCCGAGTAATTGATTGATCTTGCGATAGTTTTCATCAAAACCTGTCGTTAGATGGAGAATGGTTGAAAATCATGAACTGTATACAGTATCAATCCCAAGACAGTTAGGTCACATGTCGAATCCACTGCTACTTATCTGCTCTAAGTTAAAATGAAGTAACTCACATTTTCTTACCTTTACTGATTCCCAATCCAATGTGAATTTATACAAGACCTGTTATTTATACTTTGTATTTACTGCATAAATCTAAGGCTGGTAGAATTAGACTAAAAATTGTCTCATGAAGTGAATGTTTTACTCTTTGTTAACTTGAAGTCATCCAATTCATTTATACCCCATATAAGCTAGAAATTTTATTTTCATTCTTTGATGCATCAAGGCTAACAAAAGGATGTCAAAAAATTCACTTTGAGAAAACCTATTAAAAATGCCATCCTATATGCCGTTATTGCTGAACTGTTGAAAATATTTACAGAGTTTAAATAGTCAGCAACTATAAAGGATAAGGAAACCGTTTCCAAGCAAAAGGATATTGGTGCTTAAGTAAGATGGTGACTCTGTTAAAGCACTGATAACATTTAAGTGTACTTCATGTACTTACTCTTCACTAGAAAGTAAATAATGTCAAGCACTAGTTGTTTATCATATTGTATATAACCTAAAAACTATGTGTCTCACGACTGTGGCGCATTTTGACTTGTGCTAGATGGTCGGAGGCAGTTGATAAACCCCTGTCTTACTTCATACAAAATGAATTTGACTTAATTTTATAAAATAAAGACTGATGAAGTTACCTGGGTTGTTGATATTAGTTTATTGTCCCATAACTAGGATAAGCGGAAAAGAAAAACTCTCTGACCTTCTTCAACTGCTGAGTAAATTTCAGAATCATCTCCTGTGTTTGCTTCCTGTGGATGTCAATCTTTAAACCCTCTAGTGATGATGAACGCCGTTCTGGTACAAATAAATCACAATATCTATTTTGAATTTAGTTTTCGAAGATAATTTACAAAATTTTCTTAGCATGAATGATTACTAAACGTTTTTTTGTAATCTCATAAACATCTGAGGAAAGTATTCGGTATTGGAATAAGTAGGTACGCAGTTTGCTTTTTATATTTTTCTATATTTGACCGAAATCTGAATAATTTTGATTATTTATCCTTTATGCCGATGAAAACTTACTAGCTAAAACTAATTGGATGCATTATATTAGAGATAATTCCCTCCAATAACTATTCTCAACTGAGAAAACTAGAAGATTGCTTTCTTCGAAACTCTTCAAAATTCTGGGCACCATCATTCCTTCCTTGACATTTTAAGACAGTTACTCCGTACCAACACACGACTAGCATCAACTTTAAATTTCTCTTCAAACTGAAATGTTGCATTATTTCTTTGAATTACATTGATCAAAATCTGTAATAAAACATTTACAGATAAGGATAATTTGACGATAATGATTGAAATAACTTTTACTACTGACTGTGAGCCTCAAATACCTTTCGACTTTTGAATTTTATCTTTCTATCAGAAATGGTATAGATTCACAATGAAACAAAACTGTTAAAAATTAGAAACGTTTTATTCTTAAAAATTTTATTTTAAACTACGAGGCTTAGAAGGATAACACATAGGACCTGAACTTCTCCGGAATTCTCAAGATATCTCTTGGTGGTGTGTAACCAAATCAGTTTTGCACTTCTTAGTCGCTAACCTGAAGATACGGCTTTCATACAGTAAGCATATTAATAGGTTGCAGTTACCCCTTGCTGATGAATGCCAGCAAGTATGAGAAGTAGGTTCAGGGCTTCTTACTGATTGCCTCCAGCCAGCCAGCTAACATTCTGTTATTTCGCTCAAGTTTGAGCACTGTAAGCTACCTCATTAGAAAGAGCTATGATCTTATAGAGAGTTGTCATTTGAATTGACGATAACTAGCGGTGTCTAAGAGGGATGCCCACTATCACCTTTCCTATTTAGCTTCGTCACAGACGTACTGATGGACATAACCTCATGTGCTTCTAAGTTCACAGGAATTGACATACTCCCTGGAGATTATATTACTGACTTCGAGTATACAGACTATATTGTCCTGCTAGGCAAAGGTGCTGACAAAATACAGGTTCTGGTGAACGCGTTCAGCAGAAATCTGAGTATACCTGCCCTGCCTTCGCTTTCACCTGCCAAATGTAAGGTGATGCTTCCCAACTGGTCTGTAACCACTCTCAGCTTGTTAATAAGGAGTGAAGTGGTGGAATTTGTTGGCCAGTTCACTTACTCGGAAAGTTACATCCACCCGAAAGTGCTGGTTGCTGACGAAATTTTAGCTCAGATACAGAAGACCCGTTTTTGCATTTGTCGGCTGGCATCATCTGTGGTGTTGAGTGGCTAGATATCGGCATCCGCATCAAAAGATGATTATACTGTGCTGCTATCTATTCTTTCCTACTATGTGGATATGAGGCGTGACCGATAAAGGTAGAAGACATGAAACGGTTGCAGGGTTTTGCTCACAGATGTCTTCGTAACATTGCTCACGTTTGGTGGAATCACTGTGTGAGCAACGTTGAGGTTAGGAGAAGAGTATTCGGTAAGATAAGCGAGTTGACTGATGAGATTTTGAACCTTATTTGACTGAAGTGGCTTGGACATATACTGCGCATGCCGGGCCACGCCCATCTTGACGTGTCATGTTGCGGGAGGTTGGATTAGGATGGGAAAGGGTTCATAGTGGCCAGAGCAAGACGTGGAACCAGTCCATAGAGTCTCTGACTGTTGGTCTGAGTCGTGTAGGGAGATACAGACTGGCTGGTTGGGGCCCTCGAAACTATAGGAACCAGTGGTTGAAGTCTCTTGTTAACGTGCCTTAAAATCGGTCACAAGGGTAACATCTTCTGAAGCTTGAATATCCGCTCTAACCTTCATCTTCAGATGGTTTATTTTCGTACACAATGTTGTTTACTTTGATATTACTGTTTCTGTCCATCTGTTCTTTGTATACTGTTATGAAATGTGTCAACTAGGACCGATGCACTTATGTGAGAGGTATGACGTTGATTCTACCTATCTATGATGTTCGACTTATCGTAACCAACCTACCGATTCAAATTAGCTGACTATAACTGAAATAGTAAATTGGTTTCTGTTTATCATTTACAGCATTTATTGTAAAATTTGTGTTTAAAGAACGAAACAGTTGCCAACCTGAAGCCAGACGTCACCTTAGAATGAAACAGATGTGCTTTCTGATTTAATATCTCAATATACTTTAAATAAAATGGCTATATTTCACATATATCTACTTAAGGGATGATCTATTCTAGTTACTGAGTGACAAATATTTTACACATTGATTGCTAATTTGTCGGTTTTGATTTTTGGATGCTACATAAATAAGAGCTGACTCAAAATTTCTTTTGATCATCTTCAGAACATACTGTCATATTCAAAAGATTCTATGGACAAATTTGAGGTTTTCTCTGCTTAATAGTTCTAAGGTTTCATATTCAAAACAGAGTTCATCATTGTTGGTTTGCATTCACATAGATTTTGATGCATTATGAAATTTCACTGCAAGCTGATATTACTATAAATTTTGTGAATGATAGCGAGCAATTAATAAGCTTGTTTCCGAAGTAAATACACTTGGTATTTCTGCTTATATGGATGACAATGATTTTATCATTTTTGATATAGGATTTTAAAGGTCTTCAAAGTGTTGTTTAAATCAAGTTGATTGGTATCCGAGTAACATCTGTTCTTTGTTTTCATAACAGTCTTATCGTGGTTTTGAGTATGTCATATACACATGACAGCAATTTTACAATGTTTATCCACCATCTTGGTTATCGCTGATTTGAAGAATAGGTGTCACTTGATGAACTGTTATTATTTATTTTTTTATTTATTTATATTTATTTATTTTGGAAGGTTTGCACAGATGCCTTTCCTCAAGGTTCCCAGATGTGATTAGTTTTGACTAACCTTCACTCTTTTGATGATATCTGTGCATAGTTCATTTTTATATAATATAGTGGTAGCTATTGTATGTGAATTGAATGTAAATTCTTAGTACTAGTTCATCCTGACTAAATCTTTTGAAGAGGAGGCCTGAAAATAAAGGTTTGTTTTTCAATGAAATTAGATACACTTTTGAACCATTGATGTATACTTTCTGTTTACAAGTATTGATTGGTCACGGGAGTGCAACCAATTTCATGTTGTCTAGTCCTGAGTGCAGATCGAATTCTATCAATCATATTTGCAATGTGGCAACCAAGCTAGGAAGCTCAGCATCGCGGTGCACATTAGTAGATGACGAGTGCCAAAAAGCACGAAACCTAGGTCCAGGACTTCCTGCCGACTGCCTCCAACCAACTAACATTTCCGTTTGCAAATTTTTGTTTTTGACTTAAGGTCTGTTTATATGGTACTGGATATCAAACGTTTATGTACAAAATAGTTTATTTTATCTTTTACATATTTGATTCAGTGATGAAATTGGATTTTATTGATATAGTAACATGTTTCAAATCTCCTTCACCTGATCACTAAACTGTAAAAACTTATTCCATTATTTTTGAAGTATGAACCTAATTTAGGATTTTACTGGCCATCTCTTTCACTACCATCATTGAGGTTATAAAAGGGATGAACTTTGAAGTACCCACAATTTAATGATAGTTTATTTCAAAGTTTTCTCTTTATCCCAACAATATGACCTGAAATTTAGTAGAAAGATCTTAGGACTTAGTGAAACTTTCTAGTTACCCTCCCAGCACTTAAGATAGATCGTAGGCTGGAATTCCTGAAGATGGAAATAACGACTGCGTTGGAAAGTTAGGTGTGCATATTTTAGGATCTGTCACTTACTTGGGAGTGGCGTTCATGCAGTTTTGTTGTTTTTTTCGGTCTAATGAGATCCTTGAGCATATTGTTAAGATAGTTGTCTATCTTGAAAAACACGCTTTCACCGTTTGGCTTATAACTGGTTGAAATTTCGACGAGCTCCAAGTTAAGTTTATACAGTTTTCACTGATTTTATTCATACAGCTATATTATTCTAGCAAAAGTAAAGTTATCACCTCCTGATATTAATAACAGACACTAACGAGGAAATGCTAAAGCCCTCAGGCCTTTCTTATTGTTTTTGGTATCCTAGGAAAGCACTCAGTAACTAATAAAAGCAAATGTTCACGCTATAGCTATTTTCATAGATGTGGATATGATGTAGAAAGGAATGTGTTAGCAAACTACGCAGTCCCTTGTAAAAATGACTCAACAAGGTAAGATCATGTTATATAATTCTACCTCAGTGTGGTTAGTGAGCACTGATGGTCAGGGTAACCAGCCTACAACTGGTCGTCTCATTAGCCAATGCCTGTCGTACACCTTAGAAGAAACTCACTAAGGCTTATATATACATATAAAACCTTTTATTACGTTTTTTTTCAGATATACTTATGAAGTTGGTGGCTGAATGTGAAGCAGAATTTAGATATCCAAATGATGTTATAATTCGAGAAGGTGACATTGGTGACTGGTAATTTCATTTATCTTTCTATTAGATGAGTTATATTTTAATGCCTTCCATCAGTTATACGAAAGTAAGCAACAATGATGATAAATATAAACATTCGGACGGCCACTCACAAAAGTCTACCATTTGGGTAGTTAAATAAAACCGATTTCACAAAAAATGCTAAGAAAAGGTATCAGTAATTGGGAATCACTGAATTTGAAAAAAAAGTTCCACTAGACAGATCAAAATGATCTAAATGTCACTTGGACATTCCTCCAGTTTTTATTCGACTTCACTAATGAATATATCCAAGCAAATCCACATTTGAAGGTACGATTTGTTGATTACTTCGTTTTGTTCAAAAGTATAGGATAGACCCGAACGTCATAAAATGGACTAACAGTTTAAAAGTAATTTAAAATCTATAGGATGTTTATCGATATTCCTCATAGCATAGTAGTTTTCGATCACCCATTTATGGTATCACCAGAATAAGCACTATAAACCATATATCAAAACCACAAGTTGGGATCTCGGACACGAGAATGTATTGAATTAACAAAACGTATTACCGATTAGCGATATGTAATTAGAAATTCCACAACTAATCTTTTGGTTCCGACAATGAATCTTTAGTGGTAGAGACAGTAGAATTCGTAATGACTTTCAAAATTCATCGTCGTCCTTTAATTGTCTAGATTTGACAATCAGTTTCAACTAGCCAATAGCATTGCAGAAAGAAGTGATCAACCTCGTGAGTTACTTTTCATTCTGTAAAAGTGGCATTAAAAGGCCGATAATTCTAAAATTGCTGATTCATTTCACTAGTTGACTAGATGTTAGACATTTTAAATATCTCCAATTTGTCAATAATTTTTATCGCGTAGATTTAGGCGAGGGGGCATTATTATTTGAAAATAAAAGCCTAATAGATATCTCTTGATTACATTTTAGCCGGATAATAAAAGTTTGTTCTATTCTAATTGGTTCAGAAATGGCCTTCAATTATTTTCTTCCAAGGCTGTCGAAACAACTAGACATTTTTAAATTCCGTTATCCAAGTGGAAATGGAAACTGACGTCACAGTGGGATTCGAGTCAAAGGCTTTTGGGTCACAACAGTGGTTCTCTGGGACCAAGCTAAGAAACCTAGACGCTGACCAGGTTTTCAAATTCATCAACTCCGGATGCTTCATTGATCTTTGAAAGTATTCATGTTAACTACTTAGAGAGCAAAAATTTGTACTTGAAACGTCATCCATTAAATAATGCTGTCACTAGTTTTTATTTCAAATAAATGAAGCGATCTTGTACATTTATCTGAAGTACCACTGAGACTATTAATTCTTTATCGGAAATCATTTTCTGCAGTACCTGTTCTCAGCCATAATGCAACGTTGTCTACAAAACTAGATTACTTAGAAGTGTAGTAGTCCATATACCATTCAATAGTAACTGCTTACTTTTGATGAAGGCATATTTCCATTTGAGTAAAAAAACCTTCATGAATTAACCAAGCATTCAGAATGAAACTACAGTGATTGATTCCTACTTAGACTAAGAGAGTTCTGGTAGGTATTTTGATTACATTTTTACATTAATGATACCAAAGGAGCTTGTGGATAGTATTTAGTTGCAACTCTTTTTAAATCAGTCAACCCTAAGTTATGTGTTAGTTGGATGAAGACGACTTGCAGGAAGACTTGGGCTAGGGTTTTGTCCTTTTCGGCACTCACCAGCAAGGCGTATCTGCAGGCTCTACGGAACTGATATTCTGCCTGAGATCCGAACCCACGTCATCCATCGCTACAATTAGAGACGTTACTACTGAGCTATTCCGGCCACGACTGACTCAGAAGCGCAGTGCACTCTGAGAGATGTTAGTTAGATGGAGGCGACAGACCTAGTCTGGTGGCCACATTTCAAAATGATTAATATAATTTGATCACCACTTTGGACTGAACAACATGAAGTTGGTTACCCTCCGATGATCAATCACTGCAGTTCAGGTTATGACCTAAATGATTTATTTCAGACCCACGATGCTGCACCAAGTTTATCTTAAAATGCTTTTACAGGCTGGCACGTCTGGGAGAGATATACAACTTTAAGACAAGAGGAAAAAGAGAAGAAAATAGAATTTATAGAATAAATAGATTCCGATAAAACTCTCCAGTTGAACACTTTATGCCGTAAAGAAAAACAAATATGCGTATTAACATCATACAGGTTACGAATATGAATGATGCATCACAGCATACAACAGAATAATCTTAACAGGTTGCTGACAATATGCCAAATGGTGAGGGTATGTTAAGACTGTCAGTGATAATCAAATGAATTAAGGATTAACTCTGTTACTGTCAACGGAATAGCTGGTGATCAAATAGGTATCCTGATAACCATGTAAAGCTGAATATATATCGAAGTGTTGGATGAATAATAACTATGCTCAGCTTCTTACTGTTCATCACTTTATCTGTTCATTCAGATCCTTTTAATTCAACCGTTTCATTTATCTTTACCTGACAACAAGAACATGATTATTTCACTATTCGACAACTTAGTGATGCGTTTGATCCTGATTAAATGTTTCAGCTCATTTGTGTTTTTTATTAAAATGAAAATATTCGTTAAATGTACTGATATATTTTCTTATAACAAAGTGCAAAATAATTTTTCCTTTTTTCTGTAAACATGCTTACATGCACAATCTAGTGATATGAACTTACCTACCATATGTTGTTGTCTACTTGGTGGTTAGCAGTGGAATCCAGGATGCTTGTTTCGTCCCGTTCGGGCCTCGTCAGGTGGATTTACCCGTACTCAGTAAGTGATATCGTTCCCACTGAGATTTGAACCCAGTGCCCATTGCTTCAAACGCCAAAGCGTTACCTACTCAGCTCCTGAGGCACGAGAATCATCACTTGTACCATCAAGAGAACAGCAGCATAATAAGTAATCGGACATAATCGAGGCAGCAGAGCAACGGGGAACTTCTTCGAAAACAAAACGTTTTCTTCACTGAAACCAAGTTTTGTCTTTTCCTATTATCAGACAATTACCTATCGCATACGTAAATATGTTATTGGGCTCCATTTAGGGTTGTGGATACCATAAGTTTCAAAGCGTTGGGACTGGATCGAAAAGAAACAATTTAAGACATCTTGCATTTTTAATCCCATTCTGAAAAAAATTTATTTCTCCACTTCTCAGCTTTCAGAGCAGTTATCAGCTAAAAAAAGTTGACCAATTAAATGCAGAGTGTTAGAATATTATGATAATTAGCAAAACAGTGTTAAGCGAAGTATTCGTGTAGTGAGGGGGAAAATCATTTCATACACGCTCATTCTTAAATAACTTAAATTAGGAAGTAGTATCCGGGAATTTAAATGCTGCATTTAGTGACTTGTACAGAAAATAATTTCATTCCCATAAGACATTAAATAACAAGCCATGTCAATATTAGACATAATAATATCTCTCCATTCATGCTATAAAGAAGTCCATGGTGTAGATTAACTAAAACAGTCATAGAGTGGGGTCTGACAGCAATACTTTCCTCCCGAACCTCAGTAGGTAAAGCAACGTTCTAAGATTTTACCCACTAATTAGAATTCATGAGCATTGGCTGGGTAACGACAGCTTCACATGACTATCTATGGCTGACCTGAGTAAAGTTGGTGACTAACAAGTAACGTAGTCTTGAAACTGTTGAGTCATTGCGATTATAATCCAAAAATGCAAACCTGAAAGCTCTTTCTTCAGGAATTAATTTACAGATATTACAAACAGCTCATATACCGTAAGTCTATACTAAAATGGCTTTTCATTTTATTTAGACAAAAAATTATATGTTTCGAATACTTCACCATTCACACCAGTCACAGGTTGGGTATTCTGACAGGTGCCACAGTTATCATTAACTCATCTCTTCATTTTTTTTCCGTCATACTTCTAATCCCCTAAGAATCTATCGGAATGCATCTTCATCTAACTTTATTTTTCTGCATTTACTGAAACAATAAAGAATAAAAATAAAAAGGTTTTAAAAATGATATGACGTGAAATTTCCACCCAAACTTCAGCGGTGATAAGTGTCTAAACAATACACCATAGTCAGTAAAATTTAAGCATAGTCATGTTTACATATTTCAGTAACTTAGAGAAATGCAATTTTGCCTTAAATAGTAGCAGCAATAGCACGAAGTACCCTTTAATAACAAAGGTAGTTCTTAATTCATTTCAGCTAATGACTTTTCTGAACATGCCCTTTAATTTGACTTTTGTATTATTTAGTATGTATGTACTACTGTGGGGACGTGTATCTGTTCACTATAATGGCGATCAAAGTTTGTCAATAACTGAAAACAAGTCAAAAGAAATTCAAAACTTGCCAAAAGTTGAAGAGAGTCAGTTGACAGTAGCTGAACAAAAATCTTCAGAAATTATTGAAACTCTTGGCCCACAAGTTGGCCAATTAGGTAAGATATCTGTTACGTTATTACGTTCTTTTTCTTTCACTTCAGTGGTTAGTAAAATACTATCACTTTTAGATGAATCGATTGATTTTCTGTTATCCAAGTTATAAAGATTGTAAGCAGCTGCAAACCAGTAGTCTTCCTAATAATGTTTTCATAAAGCATAATTGTTAAAACTGAAATTATCAGTCCTAATGAAAAGATACTCGTGTTCTTATAAACTATGGAAAATTAAAAGAATTACAGATGATCATCTTGAAACTCGTAACGTAAACTTTAGGTTGCCGCTTAGGTATGTTATTAGACTAATGCATTCCAAAGTAAGAATATCTGATATCACGAAACAAGATATGCACAGTTTTATTTTTCAATTTTGAAACATGTTTCAGATTCCTAAACACAGAATTTTCTCGGAATATCTCACTCCAGTCATCTTTACTGACTTCATTTAGCGACTAAAATATGTAGCCCATTACAATAATAAAATAGATGGCTGCTGAGCACACTTTGCCGGCTGCCGTGCCTGTTACAGATTTCAGGTGGAAATTTGCTTGGGACTTGAGAGAGATCTTATGTTTTATGATACATGAATACCGACTAAATTGAACGGACCTGGAGTTATTAAAAATACCAAGCATAAAAATGCCATACAATACCTAATTAAAATAAATTACGTCACTCTTTTTCAAGGGTAGTGATGAAACTCAATCTAGTGACTTAACTAGAATTTCAGTCAGTTTATTGGGACTAAGTATTCCGTCATTCTGGAATATGGAATATGAAATAAAGAGAAGCCTTTCGATAAGCTTGCAAGTGCTGATTTCTTAGCATGGACCAAGGAACAAGTGTTGTCATCACATACTACCGGTGATTTATTTCACCTTTAAAAATCTGTATTTAGATCCAGACATCAAGGTTACATACACAGCTTCAACTCACAGCACTCAGTGTTAAATTATTCTAAAAGCAACAGCCGAACCTCAGGGGGACTTTCGATGACAAATCTAAGCAAATTCGTGAGCAGGATGATTACGTCAAATGAAATCCTGAGATTAGAGTACATTGAATATTCTCATTTAGACACAGAAAAAATACTGATTGAACAAAAATATATATTCCTTTTCAATTAGGTCTTCATCTTCGACTCTACGCTAATATATTGTTTTATAATTCAATCAAAATACCAATCAAGTGGTGGGGGGTTAGTTGACAGTGATTACAGATTTTAAGTAAGTTTTGAGCAATTAAATTGGAAATGTGAGGCAGGCTATTATTAGGTAAATGGAGTGAGTTTTGGTGTGTTCAGTCATAAACAATAGATCATTACGTAATGATGGGAAACTAAATGAATATTGATAGAAACAAGATGGGGAAGATGTGTACAAAGCAATACTAGAAGTTACACCATACTGATGGCCACGGTAATGTAGGTGGTCGAACAAAGTTCTTTTGAATACAAAGCTTAGGTTTGTAAAGGTGGATTGCAATTGCCTCTACTATGTCAAGTAAGAGGGTGCGTTATCTATGTAGTAAATTAAGGGGAATGTGATGAATAACTTCGAATGCTTTTCTAGTATCTACTTGATGTCCCGTGTGAATTAAGTGTGTAAGTATGGAGCTCTTTATTGTCCAAGTTTATCCTCTGCTCAACCATAATCGAACTCCTGAGCATCACTGTAGCCATCAGCATGATGTAACTTCTAGTATTGCTTTGTACACATCTTCCCCATCTTGTTTCTATCAATATTCATTTAGTTTCCCATCATTACGTAATGATCTATTGTTTATGACTGAACACACCAAAACTCACTCCATTTACCTAATAATAGCCTGCCTCACATTTCCAATTTTAATTGCTCAAAACTTACTTAAAATCTATAATCACTGTCAACTAACCCCCCACCACTTGATTGGTATTTTGATTGAATTATAAAACAATATATTAGCGTAGAGTCGAAGATGAAGACCTAATTGAAAAGGAATATATATTTTTGTTCAATCAGTCTTTTTTCTAGATCCTTAGACTAGGCACTGGACTATTTCAAGACTTCCACAATAATTGAAAGATTTTCAGATACTATGGTCAGGGTTGATTATGTGTTTAACAGCATATTAGATATTCAAGTTGAAGAATGAATCCGCATTTCTAATAATGTCATTCTATAACCGTTTGTGATCTAACTTCCTATACACATATCATTTAGAGATTAGAGATTAGATTAGATTTAGAGATCACTCAGCTTTATGCTTCACGCCATTACTGAAACCCTAATTCCATATGTTGCGATACCATAAGGTTTTATTTATCTTCCGGAGATGTCATGTAGTAATCTGAAGACGGTATATATCGTTGTTATGTTATTCTTGCATAACAGTAGCAAAATTCAAAGTATTTCCTACTCATTTTTCTAACTTTGTTGAAAACACTTGTATACAGCAAAAGGTAAGTGAACCATCGAATTTAAACATTTATTTACTTGAATTATTGCTGTTGATTTCGAAGCGCTGGCTGTTTATCAAAGTCTACCGATTAAGATTACAGTGTAGTCATTGATTGAGATTACAGCAGTATATGGTACCACATTTCGTGTTATATTTTGTGAGCCAATCTGCAGAAAGTTCAGAATTTAAGTGAATTAGGAACTTTTTGTCGCTTAAATTGGTATATTTCTAAATGTATTATTACTAAATCTCTTCTATCTTAGTTGTTCATCAGATTATGAGTAATGGTTTGTGCTTGAAATGTCATCCGGTAAATGGTACTTTTTCACTGTACAAGAAATTTAACAAAACAGCTAAATCAAAATTATACCCAATCGCAAGTTGCCTAATTCTACTCATTTTTAAACTGCTTGTGACAATTAGTAGTAATATAGTCACTGTAACAATATATCTTATCCTCATAGAAAGAAACGGAAGTTTTCAACTATCCAAAATCAAGCTTTTCTATAAATAACACAGAATTTAGAAATTCTTAAGTTTTTAAAATCAATGTTATTTCTTTTGTTTGTTCTCAATTAATTTTGTGTTGCTATACCAAGTTAATATTTTATGAATTAAAAATCAGTTGCTATAGTTTCTTGTTACATAGTAATGGGGATCAAATTACAATCAGTGAAACTTGTAGCAGTATATACAATCTATACGAATACAGAAAACCAGTGAATATGCTAATAGTGTCTAGATACCAGTCGTTTAGATCTGCCTATCAGAATAGCTTCATACCACCAATGAAATGTATACAGTTAAAAAAGAACTCGAAATCAAATGCTTTTTCACTTTTGGTTATTTTCTTATGTTAAACTTAATGCGTTGATATGTAGCAGTCTCATGTATGATTTTTAAGAGCCCTACAAAGTGGCTACATAACAACTTTTTATAGTTTCAGCTTATTTATCAGAAAATGACTGCAATTTAGTTATTTCTAACTGCTTTGGCATACGAGAGTGTTGTAACACGATACTATTTCTTAAGATTCATTTTGCATAAATAAAGCATTTGATATTGAATAAGGTGTCAACTGTTGGGCTGTTTTTTGTACAGATGATAATGTTTACCCGCAATGGAATTTGTTTTCAAGCTAAGAAGAACAAAATTTCGGATACGGCTATCTAATTTGACGAAACGAAATAAAATGGATCCAGAACTTCATATTAACTGTTACTGAGCATCAGCTTTACAAATGTGAAGTTTTCATTGGTTCATTCATAAAATAACATATGGCATGGTTTCTGTCAACGTCGCCTGGTTAACTAGTTCACTAGTTACTAGCCGGTCGTAAGCCCGAGAAACGAGGGAAGGTTGGGCATAAGACTAGCAACCCTACCACGTAAAACAAATCCAACCACTTAAGAAACTTCAAAGCACAGACAAAATATAAAAAATAAAAACAAAATTATTCCTCCCTGGAATCGGAGAGGCGAAATGACCCCGGTTGGTGAAAGTCTTCGGGAAGCCAATTGGCCGATGTGTCTTCTCTTCTCTCCATGAAAGCGAAAGTAAACATGGGGACATGGAATGTCCGCACCATGTTTGAACCTACCAAGGCTGCCCAGATTGCAAACAAGATGAGAAGGTATGGAGTTGAAGTGCTAGAAATCTGTGAAAGCAGGTAAAATGAAAGTGGACTCTCCCAACTGTCAACCGGAGAGGAGAGTCAATAATCTACTCCAATGTTGTCACCCAGACGACAACCACGAACTAGCACACTGAGTTTCGAGGTGGCTATAATGATGTCCCCGAGAACACCGAAGGCTCTCATACAGTGGGAACCAATCTCCTCCAGCATCAGGATCATGACAGCAAGGTTCAACTCAGAAGGAAGGAAAGTCACAATCATTCAATGCTACGCTATGCACCTACAAATAATGCAGATCACGAGAAAAAGGAGGAACTCTACAGACAACTCCAATCAACACTAGACAAGACACCACTCAAGTTGGCGATATCAAAATTCTAATGGGTGAGGTGACATGAATGCCAAACTGGGAGCAGACAACACAGGAAGAGAACTAACCATGGGTCGAGAAGTGCTAGGTGAGGTGATGAACGAGAATGGAGGATTGCAGAATTCTGTGCATTCAACGATTCGATGATTGGAGGCTAGGCACTGTGTTTAAGCACAATGATATCCACAAAGCGAGCGACATGGATTTGATTTCACCAGACACCAGATGGACACACTATAATGAAAATCAGACAGACTTAATCTCAAGAACTTGGAGGACGAAACTACTAAGAAAATCTTCACGTCAGCCATCAACACAAAATGTGAGATATCGAGGAACATCCCTCAAGAAACCTCTGTGAACACTGGAACTCCTTGGAAGCTACGTGGAAAGAAACCTGCATAATTGTATTAGGAAGGAAGAAGAAAGAAAAAGGTAAGGAATGGATCTCGACGGACACATGGGATTTGATACAGCAGGAAGAGGAAGATGGTGAAGCAGAAGATAAACCAGTGCAAGGATGCAAAACGAAAAGAAGAACTGAGTACAATGTATAAAACACTGCACTGACAAAGAAGTGAAGAAGAGTGCACGGAAAGACAAAAGACACTTCTACGACCCACTGGCAAGTGGAGCAGAACAGGCTGCAGGTAGGAGAGACAGAGACCTGACAAAATTGTATCAAATAATCAGGTTTCTATCTGTTATGGAAGAGATCAACGCTCATGGAACCAATAAAAGATGATGATGGAAATTTAATTACGAAAGAAGAGAAACAAAAGAAACAATGGGCCGACCACTTCAAGAAGCTCTTGAATCGACCACCACCTGCACTTCTTCAGAAATACCACCTGCAGCCACAGAACTAACACTGAACACAAATCCTCCAACAAAAGTCGAAGTCGTGAAAGCCATATGGCTTATGAGATGCGGAAAAGCAGCAGGACCAGATGGAATCCCACCAGAAACACTGAAAAAAGACGCAGGGACAACAGCGGACATGCTCACACCACTATTGCACAAGGTCTGGAAGGAAGAGAAGGTACCTGGCGATTGGAAGAAGGGTTACCTTGTCGAACTCCTGAAGAAGGGAGACCTCAGTGTTTGCAAGAACTGGTGAGAAATCATGCCTCATCGCTATCCACACCAAGCAAAATATTAGGCCGCATTATCCTCGAGAGACTAAAGGATGCTCTGGATTCAAAACTACGACCAGAACAGGCTGGCTGGATTCAGAAAGTACAAATCATGTCCGGACCAAACTGCAACGCTTAGCATCATCATAGAATAGAGTATAGAATGGCAGTCAACTCTCTACCTGAACTTCATCGATTTTGAAAACGCCTTCCACAGCGTCGACCGACAAGTAATTGACAGGCAACTGCTCAAGACTACGCAATACCACAAACCTTATCAATCTCATTCAATAACTATATGAAGACGCATGCCACATGTCAGCCAAGTAATTCACAATGCGAAGTTCAGTGATGCCTTTGAAGTGAAGACAGGAGTAAAACAAGGCTGCCTACTATCACCCATGATATTTCTGATTGTAGTGGACTGGATCATGCAACAAACAGTGAGGAGCGAGAACAGGGAGATACGCTGGACTGCGGAAAAGAACCTAGAAGATCTGAATTTCGCAAATGTCTTGTGTCTGATGTCACGCAAACTTGAAGATCTACGGGCAAAAACTAACAAGTTGGCAGAAGAGACAGGGCAGCGAAGGAAGACGGGACTTCAAGTGAACGTAGAGAAGACAGAGGTGATGAAGATACCCAACCAACAACAACAGCAACAACAAGCTCTAATCACCATCAACGGGAGAAACTTCATTTATCTTAGCAGCACTGTTTCAACTGTAGGCGGCACAGACGAGGACGTCAAAGTCAGATCGGAAAGACAGCAAGACAGGCGTTCATTAACCTGAAACCAGTGTGGAGATCTGCACTCAGCACAAAGCGTACACAAGATCCGGATTTTCAACACCAATCCAGTCAAGTCAGTACTTCTGTATGGTTCAGAGACTTGACGAGTTACGAAAGGAATTTCCAACAAATTACAGACATTCATCAACAACTGCCTACGCTGGCTCGTTACTGAAGATCAGATGGATGGCCAGAAAGAATAAGCAACAAAGAACTCTGGCCTGGTAGCGAAACAACCAAGAGCCTATCGCTTAACAAATACGCAGAAGGAAGTGGAGATGGATTGTATTGGGCATACTCTGAGAAGGCCGATTGGGGACATCACGCATCAGGTCAGGCCGTCGTGTGGAATCCAAAGGGAAACGACGAGTTGGGCATTCGAGACGTGGGTGACATCGAGGAGGTTGTGTGAGGAAGAAATGAGAGCTTGTGGGCTATCGTGGAGCCATGTTCAAAAATTTCAGAGAACAGAGCGCATTGGAGACGTGCTACTGAAGCCCTATGTTCCATTAGGAACTCAAGGGACTAATAATAACAATAATGGTTTCTGTTAAACCAATTACCTTTTCGCAATATTGTTTTTGAACTAATGCGCTGAGGTTTAGGCCTTCAAAGTTTTGTTGAGTCCTAGAAACATAATATGGATTTTTTTTTCCTGCAAAACATACCTTAATAATTAAGTGGAGATTCATAAACCAGCACTTTTGCTAAAAACTTCATCAGGTAATTTTGAGAAATTTTGTGACATTATTTAGAGCATTAGACTGTAATTTCATCACAGAAAGACAATCAGTACTGAATAAAATACTAATTAACACGTGAAAGGGAGACTCTGAAAACAACATATAACCCTAAATATTTTAGGTCGTGTGCAGCTGAAGATAACCAGAGAAACAGTAAAAAAAAGTCCATATTACTTAATGTTTAAAACGAAGACATGTAGTCAAATAACCATTCAAAGTCTTGATTTACTTCCCTTATTAACCCATTGATATGCAATATCAATAAATGGAACCACTACTAAACCTCTAAACTTAAAAATGACGATTAAACACATTAGTAGACATGAGAATCAAGTTGGAAGGTCATACAGGTAAATACCATTTTATTCATTTTAAAAAAGGATGAATTTATATCATGTTTAAATATTATCCAGATCAAAGGCATTTTTTATACAACTGTTGTAGTTCAGTGTCATCTGAGTAGTAATATCAGGCAAATACTATTTCGCAGCATCCAATGGGATGTAACCAGTTGGATTTTTGTCCCATGCACTAGTATTCTTAAACAAGGCAATATCAAATTTTCTCACAGGATCCATTAAGTTTTTTAACTGTTAACCTCTGCTTTGTGTTAATATTAAAAACGTTTTTTCGTTAACGACTAGTCTTCTTTCCTTCATAAATTCCAGAATCTGGTTCAGTATTTGGTGAAGTTGCATTAATTGAAGATTGTCTACGAACTGCAAGTATTGTAGCCTTGCCAAATTCTCTTATACCTCAAGAAGATACAGATTTGAACTTTAAAGATGAAGACTTTAGCAAGATAAGATCATTCAAACATCAATCTGTTTGTATAGTAAATATTTCAAGAAGGCTGTACAATAATACTGTACGCGTAGCTATTGAACAAGAATTTCGTGAACGTCTAAAATTTGTGGACAATATCACATACTTTCAACACTTATCTGATAAAGGACGGAAACAAATCGCTATGGGATTAGAAAGACAAAAATATGAATATGATCAAAAAGTAATAAAACAAGGAAGTCCATTCAATGGTTTATACTTTATTCAAAGGTGAAATAGCCTGTTTAAATCTCAATGTTTGCAATCACATATATATATATATATATATATATATTCTCTTCACGTTCTACAGCTATACTCCATCTTACCTACCATGATAATTGCCAAGTTCACAGCAAATAAATTCTTTAACCGGAATATACATTCGGAATTGTATATAGAACAATTCAATTCTATGAAGGTTATTAAGACTTCTACCAAATCTAGCAATTAAATGATTGCGAATTTTAATAGAATGTCAAATGAATGATGACTAATCCTTATAAGTAAAGAAAATGTAAAAAAAGAGGATATAAGAATGCACTCCAATGTTGTAAGATACCTTTAAAAGGCTTTTAATTACAGTTGATGATTGGACTGATATTGACAGAATGAGCTTTATATTTTAATGACGCTTCAACAAAAGTTGAAGGTAGTGGGCGACATGAATGTTTACAGTCATTTTAATAAAGTTTTAGATATTTTAGAGATAGTAAGAAGTAATCTTGACCAAGAATTCAGCATAGAAGTATGCTTATGCAATCAATCTTCATGACACAATTGCATAAAACATCATATATACGAAATTTTAAACATAACATCGGTCAGATATAATGTAAACGTCAACAAATAATTGGACACAGATATCAGGTGCTGGAGTGAGTTTTAAATCTTTTGTCACTGACATGTTTACGGAAGTCTGACAGTTTTGGACTAGACATTTAGAATAGTTATCAATAAATGTGAACTAAAGTCTATGAACGGAAGAGTACAACTGTCCACTAGCCCATGGCTTTTGCTGACTTTGAATAGTCATATATGAATGAAGATATTTCCAAAATATATTAGATAAAACTGAATAGCTGCTTTCCGTTTGGCCACTAGTTGTCTCGCTCATGATATGAAAATCGTCCATCCTAACATTATGGGGCTGAGTTTTGTTTGAGCTTCTAAGAGAACAGCCATAAAGATGTATTCTTCTCAAACCTTGTTTTTAAAGACCTTGAAGAAGCACTGAAGTACTCAGTACTGAATTCATAGACTTCACCATAGATAGATTTTATGTTTACGGATTTGTCAATAGGTGGGAATCAATGTTTCTGTCAGATCTTCAATGCTAATCTAGGTCTACTATTCAGTCTTGAAATGCGCATGTAAAGCAAAGAGGCATGAAATTAGGATGTACTGAGTTTTGCTTAGGAGGTTCAGAACAGATATATATCAGCAGCTATGGACCTAGAACTATTGATGAATGTATCCATGATGTCTTCCGGTTTCCCAATAAAGGAATGTTTCAGTGAGATTGAGTGTGTGAAATAACAATGTAACGAACGATCTTATCATGATCTTCATTGTATTTGAACCATTTTGAATTCTCTGAAAGATTTACTTGAACAAATTAAATTTTTTGTTCAGTAAAATACCCCGTACATCACTAACTTTATAAGGCTGTTAAGAGATAAGTTTCAAATCACAGAGTTAGACATCACCGTGGTTACCTGTATCACCTAATTACCTTTTTGTGAATATTCTTTAGATTTAGTAGACATGTTATATAGACTATATAGTTGACTTTAGACAACTTTAACCTTCTTATGTACAAAATATTTTCTCACATTTAACTGGATAGTTTCAACATGGATGATGCTTAGGTAATTTTTCTGTCCCTGATGCTTTTTATCGATTCTCGCCATTTACAATGATCACATATGTACAGTTACATAGTCTGCAAAATAATGTAATCTCAGATCATCAACTATTAGAATCAGCGAATCTTTTTATTATTGTATGAAGTAAAATGCCAGGGATTATTTGATATCTTGGTTGAAATTGTCGAATTACAGACAAAAAGAAACTTTCATTTGATTATTCGGTTTACACTCAATAAGTTCCAAATGTTCAAAGACATTTCAAGGTTCCTTTTTTAGCGGTTAAATAAACCAAAAACCTGGTGGATATAAAGAGGCTTGAAAATAACTGTGTTCAGTAGTTATTTTCGTAACTGTAAGTCAGTAGTAAACCATGCTTGTTGTAGTTCCTCGGAAAGGCTTTTCTGCATTCATGGAGACCAGTGTGACCTTAGTGTTTCGAACTTACATCTCACTGAGTGCTAAAGTGAGATCCTTTTTAAAAAGCTATTTGGACCATATTCGAAGAACAGTCAAAAATATCACACGATAAAGGTCATGACTGATTCATAGTAGGACCGATTTGCATCTGTCAAGTTGTTGACTGTCATAAATAGTCGAAATTTCATCATGCCTGAAAACGAATCCCAGTCCTTCGCTCTGAATAACTACTAATATCTGACACCAAAATACAGTCCACCTAACCGTCACATCATTTAGCTCAACGGGCATATTGTAAACTTCACTTAGTGACTTCGGTTAGTGCTGAGGAATAACAGTTATCAATTACTTTCCAGTGACAATCTTTGCAAAAATTTCCTAAAGTTCAGATGCGCAATGAGATTCTCCTTTTCTTCAGTGTACTGTTCAAAGTCCTAGAAAAAGTTGCTACATTACACTTACTTAGGGTGGAACGAACATTTTATTTAGAAATACTAGTGTATTGAAATCCCGAGTTTTTTTACTCTCTGCACTATGAAATAACAACATATCACTTAGCAAGTTTTAGGCAATATCGATAAACAACGTCAAGGGGATTCAGATATTAAGGTCTTCGGAAAGCGTATGTAAAAACCAACAAGGATGAATATCAGAAGTAAACATTTTCGGTAAAGTAGCTTCAGTGTATGCTTAAATTCTCTTACATTGAAATGACCTCTCACTTATGTAGTAAAAAAGCTGCTGTTGAGACAACATAACTATTGCTTATCTATCTGACAATTAATAACAAATCAAAGATATTTGTGAAGATCACTAGGTAAATAATGAGTCTTCGCCAATGAGCGCAAAAAGTTGTAGTTCTTTCCGATTTGATGATTGTTGCTTCTTTCTTTTCATACTATGAATTTGGATTCGCTTTTGAATGCTAACTTTTGGTACCTCTAAGGTTTTTTTCGGCAATGGTTGATTGATACTAAGGATTTAAAAATTTGAACTAGGAATTTGACTAATAAATATGTAATTTAAAGTACTAAGACAGTAAGAAATGGTGGGATTACTCACGTAGAATAACTTAGTATATGTCATCTTTCTCATTCATGAATTGTGAAAAAGAAAGACAATGGATTTTAATGAATCACTACAAAGGTTGGAATGCAGCCACTTACCTGTTAAACTCTTTAAAAACTTTACCTGTGTCTCTTTGACAATAATCCAACGTAGAGGATGTATGATAGGTTAACAATAAGATTACTTGTTTTCGATAATTGTAGTAGTTCGCTTAACATAAAATTAACTATTATACGAAGATTCAACTCGTTTTTCGACAACTGACCACACCAAATTTTGACCAGTTTTTCTAACCTTCAGTGTTTTCACTTTATTTGGGAGCACTAAACTTGCTTCACGGGGTTTCGGAACAGCTTAAATTTTCTCATTATATTGTGCTTAAAAAAATTCCTGTCTTCAGTTATTGAACTATGTGTGTATGGATCAAATCCAAAGTTATTAAAGGTTTCATTACCGATTATTGAATAAAGATTCGAGCTTCTGACTGACGTTAATCACTGGTGAAGAATTGGATTTTGTAGAAGTATGACGTTTCATATTCACATGCTTGCCCATCGACAGAAACACTGGTTTACTGAAAAAGAATGGCAATCGTTACTTTTGTATCAATAAACTCGTCTACCACTATCAGATAAACTTATCAGATTCAAGATTACCTCAAGGAAATAGGAAGTTCAATATTAGGTCAACAGACCAAAGTTTTAATCCATCACTTCTTGAAATTGTTACCGTACACATACCAATGTGTGAAAGTTTCAAAACATCTCCTTATTCCCTTCACTCTGAATAAACTACAAGGCTTTTCATTTCCATCCAATTCATTCAGTCCAATTGACAAAGTTTATAATGCTGAACAAACTTAGGCTTGCTAGATTTGAAGTATCTGGTCCAAACCACATGCAAAGAACATCGACAATGTAGTTGAAAAAGATACAAGTAACTAACGACAAAAGTGTAAGGTTCGAAAGAGAATTTTCGATTTCATACAAAATTGATAGCTTTTAACTAGTATGTTTGTAAGGCATTGTAATAACAACCTATAAGCTTACTTGGACTGACTTTTACTATTAAACTGAAATTAAAATGCTAAAGTTTCATTTCGTAAGAAACATTCAATACACTTAGGAGTAGTGTAGAGGAAAATTTATTGTAAATGTTTATTGCCAGTCAATTAAATTATGCTACAATCAGTAGTGTCAACGGATACTCATTGAATAAAAAGACCTGCGCATTCCTAACGTCAAATCAGATTAGAACAAACACTAGGTAATTAACTTTTGGAATTCAAGGATTCATTACTGAGCATATGTTTCTTACTTTTAGGAGAGTCTTCAATAGGATGGACTTAACATGCACGAACTAAGCGGTAAATAATTTCACTTATAGTGACCAACGTTTTCAACTTAAAAAATTGAGACAAATGTAAGATCATATATCGTTGTTTTCTGAGTATTATTCTCATATTAATATTGTTCTTTGTATTATCCCATCGCTTAGTGGACCAAAGTGATCGGTCTTCATTGTCAAAGGGTTCCTGCGCCGACGCTTTGATACTGTCTGTGTTAGAATGCTATATTATTAATGGAGTTCAAATCTTAGCGGGAACAACATCGCCCACTGGGAGGTGGGTACATCCAGCTGACCAGTCTTAAGTAGGACGAAACGCGAGTACTTAATTCTACGGCCAGCCGCTACCCACTACTAATATATTATTCTTATAGCTTGGAATCCATATGCTTTTTTTCTGTCATAGTTTAACTAGTCCATTGCATTCGTGGTAACTCGGATATGAATCAAAGTAGCTTACTCTGAGACACTTAGGTAAAAAAAACACTAAAAGAGATTTTTTTCAGTGATTTCTGGATTTCAGTTTTCTGCACATTACCTTCATGCTACTTTGTATCATATAATGATTATTGCCATACTGACAGTGAGATCTATGAAAGTCCAACACTTTAGGGTGATCGATCACCTTTAATTATTTTGTAATTCCTAATGTGCTTTAGACTGATTTCTTTTTGGTTTTATACATATTTGCACCAACAAGGGGTGAACTTCGCATAACACTTACTACAAAATCAACGCAACGAACAGTCACAAGTCAAAATTCTTCCGATTCGGGAACATTTAGTCTACCATTCATAGTCGGATGTAATCCATGTGCACCGGAGAAAACAGGTTCGTATACAACATATTGCTATCTGACACTGATAAATTTTTCGATTTGCATGCGTTATTTTTCTGTTGCTTCGAAAAAATTGTTAAATAAACTGAAGATAACACTGTGTAACCACTGATCAGATGTTTCTTACTAATGTGATATAACAGACAGTAAATTTGTTTTTGCCGTCGATTGACTCATATTACAGTAATCCTAGAAATCCGCAATTATTGTCGATATTGTATCATTTCTTTTCAGAGATGTATATCATGTTAATTTAAGAAATACAGCCAATAACTTGGGTATAAAAAGTCGCTGTGTTCAACCTATGACTTTTCCTTTCTTCTAGTGAAGATCTGTCTTTGATTTTCTACGTTTGCAGATTTACTCCTTTTTCAGTAGCATTCATTCTCATAGAATCGTATGAATGTGTTAAAATTACTATAGGATTGTCAAGATTTGGATGTATTTTACTATGCTTCAAATTACTGAAAACGAGAATTTCAGAAAAGATATCTCTTTTGACGATTTGATTCTTCATACTTATCATATCTACTGCTCACCGTACGTACATCTAGCACATAAAACCTGAACCACAAAAAGAGAAAATTATCCCAGTTCCAAAGAGGATATTACATACAAATCTTGGCTTCAAAGGTGACCTAGATGCTGATATTTTGGAAAGAAGAATTTCAAACTCTTTAAAGAAACCATTATTTTTGTCAACGCTGAGGATATTGTTCTCCAGTCGTCCAACGTTTCCTGGTAACCTCGAGGATAACCTTCCACATCTAACCACTTTTCCTGTGTGTTTATCAGTTCACTCTCTTCTGTGGAGTCGAATCGTTCGATGCACATTCTTTCGAAACGGTTTGAAGAACATTACCCAGCCCGGCTGAAAGGAGATGCGAGTGGATCCATCGGAAGTAAAATAACGGAATACCTTGCCAACGCTGGTCACACTATCGCAACTGATTCAGCGCTTAAAGTCATCTACAGTGTGAAAAGAAAGTTGACAAAAATGATATGCTTCCATCCCCTTTGTACTGCAGAAGCCACATAAATAGAAAGAAAAATAGATAGAATCTTTGTGCTGGTGTCACATTTTAAACAATGGGTTGATGAGAAACAGTAATGCACTTAACTTGCTGGTTACATATGTTTATTTTTCTGTGCTGAATATACGCTTGCCAACTATGCAGTATCTATAACCTTGAAGGTAACCAACAGTGATCGACAAGTGATGTGTAAAAACAAACTGAACACGGCATTCAAATCAGCTTGGATTATCACTGAATTTAACTGGTCTCTTTTGAAAATATATTGGAATAAATCATTTTTGTAAGCAGTAAGCATATATTATTACTACTCAATGCAGTGATTCATATGGTTTGTCAACAGCAGGGAGAAAAACAAATTATTAAAATAGGAATGATATTCTGTTGCTATACAGTAATAGTACCATATCACTTTAATGAGAACACACTAAAACGTTTATAAGTTGAGACTGTTTATATGACAACTGAGGATTTTAAACTGAAAAATGATGTCTAACTTGGAATAAAAATGATAACTGTCCACTGATCTCTCGTCTTTGATATTTGATTATTAACATCTGACAATCAGTTTGGGTGACTTCATCAGTAACTAATCCACCAGAAAGTGAAACTTCTTCATAGTTTGCGAAAGTTTATGTTACATGTCTTGTGAAATTTAAGTTTCAGGTTACGAGTGAATTAAATTGCACATGTTGGTCTGTATTATGCTGATTTTTGTCACCTTGTTTCAAGAGAGTGAAACTTTATTAGTGTAAATACTTGACCTTTTTCTATTAAACTAATGCTTGAGCATTAATTTCACTAAAATATTTTTAGTCTCCTGGTTGCTGATTGTTATTCTCTTGGTAATCTAAGCATTGGATCTTTTTCAGTCTATCTATCTACAACCATTTCACTAGAGTACTATCTATGCTTTTCGCTAAATTTAAAATTCAAATAAGTGTCTATCACATCTGACATCGAGAATGTAATACAACAGAATACTAGGTGTCTACTAACTTTATTTCAGAACTGTATGGGTAAATATTTTTATGTGATTTCTAATTTAATCAGAATTCAAGTCTCATAAAATTTTAGATTCTGAAAACCGTTTTGAAAACACAGAAATATGCCAATTTAAAGAATACTATCTCTTGAAACAATCCATTTGAAAAGGTTAAATAATTAAGTATCTCAATACTCTTCACGTCGATCAATATTTTTGTAGTAACCAATTCATTTGCAGTAGATGGATATTAGTTTGTAGAGGTCAGTTGCAGGAAGCCCTTAGCTTGAGCTTAATTTTTGTTAGTGCTAATAAGCAGGCTGTATCTGCAACCAGGAAACAAATAATGTTCTCTTGGTGGTACGAACACCGAATTCCTCATGGTTGCAGATGTGCCTTGCTGATGAATACCAACAAGCACAAAACCTAGATCCAGATAATTTTAACGATTAATTATCATCACCTCACACCACAACTCTATGCACCACAGTTACATTCTAATTCATACTAGGTACTCGGGATGACGGTTACATATGTTGCCCACTGGTTACCAAATCATGAACAGGCTACAACATTTTGCGATCCAAATATACGCAAGTAACTATTTTATACATTTAGAAGTCTTGATAAGTTTGGGCAAAGCGATAAGAACAAGATTTTCAGAACTAAATGAAACCATTTTTTCGCCAGTACTCTTCACCTCCATAGAGTTAAAAAGTGCAATGTTTATTGGGATATAAGTTTTTCAAAATTTAGGAATCCATAATCCTAAGTTGTACAACAAAATCATTGATAATCCACATAATGTGAAATTGTTTCAAATGAACATGCTGAATAATTTGTAAATGTAAACGTAAGGCCTGACGAGGACTTACCGAAAATATGTATTCGCTTCAAACCTTGAATTTAAAATACTTAACATGCAAAAAATGTCTGGATTACTGAATTTCGCGGAACTGAAATGCTTCTAATCTGACCTCTGCAGAGAGGAGGAGAGTGTGGTTAGTAACTCATTTCCTTGGTGAATATGATTTGATCCTATTTCATTTTCAGTTTCATTACATAACTCTTTTTATTTATTATTGTTATTTCTCCTTTCTTACAACTTTTACGCCTTCAAAATTAATTTTCTTACATGTTATGTGGATTATCAATGATTTCGTCTTACAACTTATTATTATGGACTTCCCAATTTAGAAATATATATATACTAACAACCATAATACTTTTGGATTGTATGCAGCTGATGAGTATTGGTGAAATCTTATGGTATCACTTCAATTCTAAAAATTTCGTCCTTCTTGCCTTATCCAGAAACCATTTCACTTTGCTACAGCACATATATTTCCAACCATAAAATACATATCAGCCTTTAAATTCACTGTTCTCAAACTAGACAATTTTATCACAAAGTTAGGAGGTGAAGAATTTATGTATGATTCATCTGGCGAATTCCATTCAGCATCACGCTGTAATTCTCAATGTTAAGCTTTAAATGCAACATAGTACTATCTAAATTAATGGTGATATTGAGTTGACTAGCGATTTGGATACTATGTATTAGTTAGTATTTAGTGGTTAGGGTATAGATGCAATCAAATCCCAGTGAGAGTTATTTGGTCCTGAATGACTTAATACTAAACTTCATAGCTGCAATATTAGATGATTTTGATCCAAATTTTATTGATAGCTTTAATCTGCTTTCAGGGTTGCAGAGGGAGTGGATAAAAACAAATGAAACCCGATAATCACTCTCCGTCGTCTAATATCAAAACTAGATTTATTTTACCTTACCTAAAAGCAGTACAATATTCTATTGTAATTTTCAGATAATATTATGTATATGGTTGCACTTCAGCCAATTATTTTTGGCAGTAGAGTTCGATGCACAGCTTTTTTCTCATTTTACTACAGGATCTATTTGCGCTGGTGATTTGGAATTCTTATTAAAACACCCAAAATATATGTTTTCTGTCATATCGAATACATCTTCAACAATAATATACTTTATGAATATAAAAAATGCAGAAAGATATATCTTTGGCTTGTATTCGAAACGAAACCATAGACAATCACAAACTGTCCTCCTAACACTCTGTGAATTTTCCCGCTTAGTTCAATTGCGGTTGTCTACTCTTATTAAGTATGTACCTGTTAGCCTTCAAGGCGTTTTACTTAATTCAGCAAGTCAGCTACTGAATGATGAACGACGCAGACTAAAACTTTTACACATTAGAAAAATGGTAACTCCTGTGGACATTAGAACTTCCAAGAAAGTGAAATGCTCTAAATGTAAAGATGCAATGAATAGCACTGAAAATGAACATATAAATAAGCTATTTGGCATACATGATCAAAAACTAATGTCTAAAAAGAAAATTAATCAAAAAGGAATTGATTTTTCTAACGATAGTCAGAGAACATGTGAATCACCAAGTGATCAGCAAAATATCTCTCAAAAGTCAGATCAAAATACATCTCTTTCCTATGAAATTATCACAGACCCAGAATCCAGTCTACCAGCTATAATTTCTAATCAAAATGAATTGAGAAGTATTATTCAATCCAGTTTACCATTTCGCTATCGAAATAATGCTGCAAGACTACTCCAGAGAATAAATGATCAAAAATTACAAAGTAAAGTTCAGTGTTTCATTGAAAATTTGAACGAATTCAATGCAAAACAAATAAATGAAAGCATTTCACGTTTAAATTATTATGCACAAACTTCTGACAAGGTAATGTTTAATATTAACATTGATTTCACTGTATTCTACGGGGTTTTTATTCTCGAATTTATGAGTTAAGAAAAGATTATTTGTTCAAACTTATCGATTTTCCTTCGCTAACCAATAATGACCCCACGCTAGACCTTCCCAAAGGTTACAATTCTATTCAACATACTGATAAAAAAAGGGTCTTACTACACTTTTCAGGGACTATCCTACCTACCTCTGTTTTGATTCGGAACATTATCTCTATGAGGAATTCTTTTGCTTTCCCTCAGATAAATTCAGTTTTATATGGTAGTTAAAGGTATTTATTGTCAGTCAAGCCTAACCAGAAACTTACAAAAAAGTTACGCCTCATAGATTGTATGGACGTGTTTCTTCTAAAAAATAGTCATGTAAAGTATTGGATATTATTTCCGAAGGAACGCGGAAGTATATTTCATTCTGTCAGGATTTCCATAGAAAACTGAAACAGTTCGGTTGGTACTTCTGACTAATTCAGTGTAGTGGCTTACACTACTTTCTACGAATAAGGTAGTGTGGTGAATTGTTAAGTAGCTGAATGTAATCAACAGGAAGAGCGAACCCTTTTTAGTGCCTGTTGACAGTTGCCAGCAAGCCGCATTCTCAAATTCAAGGTTAATGATGCCCTCTAAGAGATTCAAACCTGCTTCAGCCAGCACCGCAGTTAGAAATCTTACCATTGAGCTATTCGGGCTTCCTGCTAAATTTCCTTAAACCCGTTAACATCAATCAAAGTCTTGGTTGTATTGTGTTTTCTGAGCTGGGTTGTTTAGTCGATTAAACAACCCAGCTCAGAAAATACAATACAACCAAGATCATCCACCTGAGCTACAAATATTCTCCATTATATCGATCAAAGTGTACTGCCATAGTGAATCTCCCACCTTGGTAATCACATTGCCAAATGATCGTTAGATTTCAACAACCTAATGAAAAAACTAAGATTATCTGCAACATGTGATGTGTTAGCACTATACATTTCGAACAATCTGATTACACATGGAGTTGTCGAAAAAAATTTATGCAGTGTCAATGAAGTCCATAGAAAACATAAGAATATGAAGGGCAGATAGGATGAGTGCAGGTGACAAACGTCCATCTTCGTTTATCACTAAACATATACTAGAAATCAACCATAGGGTAGACGTGAAAACAGCTTCTAAAGTACTGCATAAAAGTGATCAGGGCCGAGTGCTTAAATTTATTGAATCTCTTGCCATCCAAAAATTTAAACCCTCTTTTTTGTACAAAAACAATTTTTACTCATGTTGAACCTATCTTAGTAGTGCTGATTTTAATTTTCATACCATGAGTAAAGTGATTAAGATTCTGTTTTTTCTATGCCCTTCCAATTTCTATGTTTCCTATTGACTTCACTGACCCCTTCCGATAGATTTCAGTCAGAAGTGAGGACTAGAGACCATGAAATTAGCCACTCTGTAGTAGCTAGTCAATGTAGCATAATAAATTAATACACAGGGATATAAAAGCTGAAGGAAAATGAGTTGTCTTTACTCATCAGAAGTCATCATTCTGTTAAGAAAGAAGTATATTACAGAACATGGTTTTGAATATGTGCCTGTAAAGTGAACGCATTCGTCTTCAAAACTAGAGCACCTACATGAGACAACCCAATAAAATCATATGTGCTAGTTATATCTCAATATATTGAGGAGAAATATTCAGGTCACTTCTTGTTTGGTTTTAAATTGTCATCATTAAAGTGGACTGAATTATTTTTAGATTTGTAGAAATTTTTATCAAATTCATAGCTTTTCTTACCAGCTCTGAAAATGTCTAATATTGAGGGCGGACTAAAGTCTCATTTACATAGGGGGGAAGAGGTTGTAAGCATAGATTTAGCTGTATCGGAAAGAATTAAATATGTAAGACTTTCAATGCGAAAACATTTTCATTTCATAGTTTCTCATCTTGTCTAAGCTTAGTGGACAACTTAAACTAGTGTACATACCTTTTAGAGACACGTATGTTTGTGCAGATGTCCAAATGTTTCAAAAGGTAACGATGATTGTAACCTCATTTGAAGCATAGTATATCATTGAAAATCTCAAAGAATTTTCTCTTGACGTGCAATTTTCAGTAAACGTAAATCTCCTATTATTACTTGTATCATAACGGTATTGTTAATGATAGCAGTTAAAAGTAATCCTCTAGCGAATAAACCGGTAACCAGATCATAACTGATAATAACTGATAAGTACTAGGGGCTGATCAAAGTGTATTGGTCAATTTTTTGTGTATTAACGAAGCTAAGTGACGACAGTGTGTCGAACTGTGTTTGGTATTATAGTTCAGGAGATATTTGGCTTTAGTTCACAGGGTCAGAGTTTCGTACTTGCTAGCAATGATCAACAAAATGTTTCTTCTATCTCAATAGAAAACTCACTTCTCTTGGGTGGTAAGTATTTTTGATGAGCCCCAGCAAACACGAAATTTTGGTATAAATCTTCCTATTTACTGCAGACCATCAGGTAACGTCGAAAGTATTGTTTCATCTGTGTTAGGTTACGTAACAGGAAGATTTTAATTCGGGACTCATAGTTATCACAATCATAAAGCCGAAATGCATAATCTAAATGCCTTAATGGTGACGTATACCAATGTGATATGGAACAATGTAGACTTAAAAAATGATAACATCAAGTTCCCAGTAGAATCTTACTCATAACTTCCAGTAAATATGTTACCCAACTATATGTTACACTTGTTGCATGTAGTTAAACCATGAAGTAGAACAAGATCTACCGAATAACCAGGAGCAAATAATGAAATGCTCCAACGGTTTTAACAAGATAGCAAGCCTAAAATTAAAAGCTGCAGTTATTTTGCAAAATTTTGTTAATTAAATTCTATACACCACTTATTACTATGCTTGACAAAATGAAGCAATATTCCATATAATTAGTTCTCTGAATGAATTTTAGCGAAGCCAAGACAAAGAGGCATACAAAATACCGTAAATTTTCCATTTCCTGTTGCTTCCTGTTTATCTAGCTGACATGCTAAGCCATAACGACATTTTAGGCCTTGACTATTTAAGGTTAGCTGGACGTCACCTGCCAATGGACTGGTTTCCAATTAGGCACATATGCATGAAAACAGTATACACAATAGTCCATCCTCTCCTACTAAAGAAGACGACTCCCAAAATTCCGGGTATCTATCCGCACCTCCTTAGCTGAGACGATGTCTAGTCTCCGACCTGCTAAAGCTGGCCGTATCTCACACCAATTGCTTGACCAGTACTTACCATCCTCTCACCTCAGTTGATGACGTGACATCCAGGCATTTCAGCCTTTACTGCCTGTACGGTGGTAGCAGTCGACTGGCCAGGTTCAAGAGTCAGTCAGCAACTACTTGCGAAAACTCATTTTTCAGCCAGGAGAGAAGATAAAAGTTTCATCGCTTTGAGCAGTCGATAGCGATCACCGGTGCTGTCACCAGGGTGGATCTCATCATCAACCTGAAACCCATACCATAGACAGGCAAGCATGCCAGCCGAGTCTGTCTCACGAGGGTAGACAATAAGCATATAACTCACTGCCTTCACCATACCTCTCATAAATTGTACACTCTCCCGCCGCCTAGCAAAGCACGTTGTGTGCACACCCGAGCGTAGGTGACAGCCGTTAATGAATGTCTGTAGTTTGTTCGAAGTGATTTTCGTAACGCGCCAAGTCTCTCAACTATATAGAAACACTGACTTGCCTGAATTAGTGTTGAAAATCCGTATCTCGTTCACGCTTTTTGCTGAGTGCAGTGCAGTTGATCTCTAGACTGGTTTCAGGTTAATGAAAGGCTGTCTTGCTTTTCCAATCCTGGCATTGACGTCCTCATCTGTGCCACCTGTATTTGAGACGGTGCTGCCTTGGTGAAAGAGACTGCTTCCTTCAGGTTCCTCCCGTTTATGGTGATTGATGCTTGTTGTTGATGCTGTTGTTGGCTGGGTATCTTCATCACCTCCGTCTTCTCTACATTCACTTGAAGTCCCATTTTCGCTGTCTCGCCACTTCTGTCAACTTGTCAGTTTTCGCCTGTAGATCTTCGAGTTTGTGAGACAAGGCATTAGACATAAATCATCAGCGAAATCCAAATCTTCTAGACTCTAAATACTGTGCCGTAACTTAAAGGTTAAGTACATAGGTCAAACTAGTCAAACAGGGTCAGACAGATTATCAGAATATAGGATCCTAGCTAAGTCTAGATTGGTAGGATCGGTTGGTGGACAGATTGGTTAATAGATAAATAAATTAGAGAAGAATTCAGCCATAGCTGTGCACACGACCACACAATAAGGTATGACAGAGTTACAGTTCTTTAGGCCTGTGTAATCGAAACGACGCATCACTATTTCCTGTTGTGTGAAAAATCTTACCACTAAGTAAATCAAAGAATAGAAAACAAGAGAACTATAGAAAAAGTCATAACAGGAAGTCGTGTAATTACCTTGATATGATTATGAGCAATAAATCCCGCTAGAAACGTCATCTAGTAAATAATATTATTTCACCATGTGCTGTATTAGATAGACTACTCTTACATTCTATTAAAGTGGCCAAATTCTATACTTACATTATCTTCTTACTTCAAATCTAAGACAAATTTTCGCACTGCCCTTTGTACTTGTGTTTATTATCATTTTTCACACTTAATTTGGTCCTGAAGGAAAACAGCATTTCTCAACACAATTCCACTTAAGCTAACTGCATCCACGTGACGAGTCTCAGTTGTTAGTAACGTGTAGGATATCCAGATTTCAACTGAGGAGTTACTTCTTTTTTTTATAAATGAATAAATGAAAACTATTACTTAAGATGCTACCATCATTTTCACAACCTCATTTTGGCTGCAATTAGTAAACTAAATAACCCAGTGTAAATTTCCTCAAGTATAATTTAGGCCAGTAGGATATCAATAACTTGCGTAGACTGAGTTTTATTTGTTTGAGGGTCAACTTCTTC